ATGGAGGACATTTTGGAATTCCTCCTGGACAGAAGGTTTAAATGGAGGCTAGGTCCTGGAAAAGGAGGACAGCTGGTCATCCTACAAAACAGGGATACCTTTATGAGGATAACCAAAATGCATGAAATACATGTTGCAAGGTTTCGAAGCTGGGGTTGGGTGACCCTGGGCAAGTCACAGCCTCAGAAAAACCCCATGATCGTTTCTCCTTAGGGTAGCCTTAAATTGGGAATGATTTGAAGGCACACAACAAGGTCACTGAAACACTTGGGCAAGTCACACTCTCTCAGCCTGAAAGGATGGTAATGGCAAATCCCCTCTGAAGAAACTTAACAAGAAAACCCCATGATAGATTCTCTTTAGAGTCACCATAAGTCAGAAATGACTTGAAGGCACACAACAAGGTCACCTCCTAAACCCACCGAGTGGGCTTGGGCAAGTCATACTCTCTCAGCCTCATAGGATGGCAATGGCAAACCCACTCTGAAGAAACATGCCAAGAAAACCCCATGATAAGTTAATCTTAGGGTCACCATAAGTCAGAAACAACTTGAAGGTACACAACAACAACAAAGTCACTAAGGTGACTACAGGTTGAGTCTCCTTTCTCAGAAATGCTCGGGACCATAAGTGTTTCAGATTTTGGAGGATTTGAGGATATATACATACTGAGATATCTTGGAGAAGGGACTCAAGTCTAAACATGAAATTCATTTATGTTTCCTATACACCTTATACAAATAGCCTGAAGGTATTTTTATATGAAATATTGTTAATTTGGGGCATGAAATATTTCATTTCAGATGTTGGAATTGCAGATAAAGGAGACTCAACCTGAATTTGAGACTGCCACAGCGAAATAGTCCTGCAGAACAAACAACATCTTGCAGCTAGGTAGAATTTGATAATGCACCATTTGTCTACTTTGGTGTTCCCAGAAAAGGTTTAACGCTTTTGTTATGGCAAGACTACTCATGGGACTGGAGTTCATTATATATATGTGTGTGTGCGCGCGCGCGTGTGTGTGTGTGTGTGTGTGTGTGTATATATATATATATATATATATATAAACACACAAATTTTTTACATATATAAAACATGCAAATCAAACAGAAGCACAAGATAAAGAAAAAAAGAGTAAACCCTAACAAAATATCCCTATAAAGAAAAAGAAAAGAAAAAAGAAAAATACAGATATAGCGACTTCCTTCCCCAAAACATTTCTATACTTGAAACTATACTTACATTTTCCTTGAATGATAGTATAAATCTCCTTCTACTGGAGCCCATTTTATCTGATGAAGTGGGCTGTAGTCTCCATAACAACTTTTGTTTTTGGAAGAAGTCTCTCCAACTGTCCCGATTTTGCAGGGACATTCCTGATGAATCTTCGTCCCACTTTTTTAGCTGCTTTTAAAATGTCCTAGTGCCTCTTTCATCCTCTCACTTTCTCCCTTTGTGCTCACCTTAGTTCAGTTGCCACGAACAGTTAATAGGGCAAAAATAATTTGCACTGCCTTAACTGCAGGAAGAGATGAGGAAAAGAGGCAAAATTTCTCCTCCAGTAGGCTTAGGCAAAAGCAAACTGCTGCAGGGTCTTGTAGCTTGTCTGTTCTTCCTCATTAAGAAATTTTGCCATCTTGACCACACTGATGTTACTTAGCCATATATGCCCCACTTTCCCTCTGTGAAATGTTGGAGGCTATGTTGAAGTACTACTGTTTCCCCCCCCCCCATTAAAATAAGTCATATCCAGCCATATAGGTATAAAATAAAACACAAAAATGGACAGTATCTTTATTAGGACTAACAATAATCTCACAAAATGTGCAGCAAGATTTTCACTTCTTCCATCAAGTTAGAAAGCATTTGTTTGTTTTTTTAAAAGTGAAGATTTATTTTTTAAAAAATGAGTAGACAATATTTTAACACATTGAGGTCAGCAGTTAAAATCAGTACCAAGATGAATCAGTGTCCAGATAGAAATCCATTTGAATGCCACCTGTGCACGTTGTCTAAGGCTAAACATGGGCATGTGAATTATGTTATTTCCAGAGAAAGTGAATCACTGCATGGTCTTCTTCCCAGTGGGCTTTGATAGATGTTATGTATAATTCTCAGACAGTCCCTCACTCTCCATCTTCAATCTGATTTTAACTGCAGGCCTCAATACCTTAAATATTTAGCAAAAAACAATGGACTGCCATGGGTTTCCCCACCACAACCACTTTGTTTGCCATCTCACTTGATGAGCTTAGGAAAAAACTCAAAAGCATAGCACATTTTAGTGAATTTATAGTTAATCCTAATAAAGAAGCTACAAAACTTTTTTTTTCTTGCTACATACTTTAATATGGCTACGTGTCAGGAAACTCCTGCAGGTACTGGATCTTTCATAAGAGGAATGTCATTTTGAAAGATCATGAATAGCATTATTCCAAGCTAAGTCTGGCTATCTTCAAAGGTGCTCACATTTGGTGTACATAGGATGGATTTGATCAGCAACAGGTTTGCCTGAGAGTATGTTCATTTTCTGTGCTTAATTCTGAGTAGAGATGCATAATGTTGTTCTGTCGATCATGACATTTGATAAACATTTAAAAACACATTAATACTGGTTTTCTTCTCAATTGTCCCTTATGACAGAAGAATTATTAGGTATTGCCAGAGGAAAGAGGACAAAGCAAAAGACCTATTAAGTGTTATACTTTAACTAATACAAAGTCAAAAATCAGTGCAAATAGACCTCTTCCCCAGAATGGGAGTGTGAAAAATATAATTTGATATACTAGCATTCTTTTAAAGAACTAAATTATGACAACATGAAACTGCTATGGGACTCTGCTGTTTCCTACCATCTGTTGTTGTTAAAATGTTATTAGTATTCTCAATACATACAGTCACTCATATTGTAGTCAGAGTTTTATAAAAGCTTCAAAATGTGTGTCACATCATCATTAGATTCACCATCACTCTTCCAAAATGATTTATTGTTATCAGTAGTACCATTTTATTGATTTAATGTGGGATAGTTAAACTGAGCTGCAATTTGTTGTTTGTTATTGTGCGCCTTCAAGCCTTCCAACTTACGGCAACCCTATCACAGGGTTTTCTTGCCAAGATTTGTTCAGAAGAAGTTTGCCATTGCCTTCCCTTGAGGCTGAGAGAGAGTGACTTACCTAAGGTCACCCAGTGGGTTTCATGGCCAAGCTGGGAATCAAACCCTGATTTCTGAGTTATAGGCTAACGCTCAAACCACTATGCCATGCTGGCTCTGAGCCTCTATACTCCACCCCAAATTCTGTCTGTCACAATTTGTAAATCAGTTTTGAAATTCAGGAACAAGTTCAATCAATCATTGATATTGCCAGTTAAACTATCTAATAGCTGCAAATATATAGGCCAGGTCTCTTAAAAAACAAAAAATACCTGTCATTTCTATGTGCATGTTTTTCACACACGTCAATAATAAACAGTTCAACACCTCATAATTACAAACATTCCCAGACACTTCATAGAAGTTACCAACAAAACTTATGGCATAGCCACCTACATTTCAGCATACATGTATGTGTGTAAATATCTCTAGAACAGGTTAGTACACAGTCTTCTGGGGCAGATAACATCTAGCTCTGCTCTTTAATTACTGTTGAATCAGGTGACATAAGTTACTTCACTCACTGAATTACAGCTTGGTAAAATGTATCCCAGAACATCAGTGAAAAGGTCCTAATTTTTAAAAGCAGTAATGCATCTTGATTGGTAAGATCCTTTTTACAATTAGCTCCACTAGTTGCCTTATAATGGTTAGGAAAATTTTCCTTAATTTAAAGGGTATCTCAAACTCATTGCACTAACAGTGGATTCAGGCACTGGTGAAATAATTATTCCAGACTTTCCTCCAGCTATTCACCAGTAGCAGATCTAAGCAGTGGGTGTGGGCCACTGGTGGGAGATCACAGGCCAGCTACCTGTCTGGGTAAGTATCTCTAGCCTAGGTGGGTCCAGAAAAGAGGGTCTTCTCTCCTACTCCCTTCCCTCCTTGACCTCCTGCAGCTCAGGGACAAAAGAGACCTGCTTCCTGGGGTCCTCCAAGTGGGTACACCAGGGGTAGGCAACCTAAGGCCCGGGGGCCGGATGCGCCCCCCCGAGGCCTTTGGACCGGCCCCAGGCAGGTCCTGCCGCCGCCGCTGCCGCCGCCGCTGCCCACCATGATGATATTGATTTTTGTTGTTATTACCTGTTCTTGGGGTTTTCTTGGCAAAATCTCCACAGGGGTTTTGCCATGGCTTTTCTGGGGCTGAGAGAGTGTGCATACATATTTTTTAATTTTTATTTATTTATTTATTTATTTATTTTTAGTGCTTCGGCCCACCAATTGTTTGAGGGACAGCAACCCGGCCCCAGGCTCAAAAAGGTTGCCTACCCCTGGGGTACACCATAGCATTCCCAGCAGTAGGGATGGCAGATGGATGAGGAGACAGAGCACTAGGGAAGAACAAGGTGGCTGTTTGGTGCCACAGGCAGAGTGTAATGAAGGAAGGCTCTCCAAAGCCTTGATACTGGCTCAGCTGCAAGTGGAAGGACTTTCCTCCTTGCTTTGCTTGGCAGCTAAAAGAGCAACTGGCTTCCTTTCCTGCCTTGTTTGGTGACAGTTTTGAGCCCCTGGTTAGACGTTACTGAGCTAAAACTCACAACTTAGCCCCACACAACTTATCCAATAATGTCAAAATAATATTGGAAGTTACAACATAACATCTGGAAGGCTGAACTTTAGTCACTCCTGTCTTAAAAGTTTATGGATCTGAGACAGTAGACCTTTCAGTTTTGTTTTTAAATGTGTCATGTTAAAAGTTCTGAATTAGTTTATAAATAAATTTTCCTTTCTGTCATACCTATGTGTGGGTTAGTAAGGAAATGTTTCCTACAGATAAATATCCAAAATAATATGAATGCAGATTGTGGGGATTTCAGAAGAAAATCCATGTGCCATCCCATATCAATCCTTTTGCCAAGTCTATCCTCAAATCATTTGTTTTAAGCAAAGATGCACTATATCTTTGACATACAGTCAGCCCTCTGTATCCACTGATTCTTTATCCAAAGATTCAACCATCTACAGCTTGAAAATATTAAAAATGTATAAAAATTACAAAAAAGAAACCCTTGATTTTGCCATTTTATACAAGCGACATTGTTTTACTATGCCATTGTATTTAATGGGTTTCCACAGATTTTGGTATCCATGGCAGGGGTCGGGAAACCAATTCCCAGTGGATACCAAGGCCTCACTGTTCAAACGTAGTATGTTAAACTATATTAGTAAGTTTGTTGTTGCTGTGTGCCTTCAAGTCGTTTCTGACTTATGGCAACCCTAAGGCGAACCTATAATGGGATTTCCTGGGCATTTTTTTTTTCAGAGGGGGTTTGTCATCCTCTGAGGCCGAGAGAGCATGATTTGTCCAAGGCCAGTGGGTTTACATGGCAGAGCCAGGATTTGGACCTGGTCCTCAAAGTCATAGTCCAATGATCAATGAAATGGAACTTATTCAGAAAATATAATTTACCACGTGCAAAGAACTGTTGGGAACATAAGCCTGAAAAAATTGTTGAAAATGTTGAAGTAAATATTTTATGGGATAAGATTCATATATAAACAATTATTAGAACATAATATGCCAGACATAATTATGGTTGAGAAAAAGAAAGTCTGAATTATAGATGTGGTAGTGGCTGGGGATATCAGAACTGAATACAAACAGGGAAGAGTTTATGAAATAATGAGATCTATAACATGAGATTCTGGGAGGGAAACAAGATCTGTGGTTGCAGTGGCAGTAGCTGCTCTGATCACAATAGCACAATTACAAAAAGTGGTATTACTTGGAATGTATCTCACTATCTAACCATACGATCTGAATCACTGATGGTCCAAAACTCTGCCAGTAACACCTGGTACACTGTGAAACCAAAAGAAGAAGACCAACAATAACAAGAATAACAACTATAGTAGTGTAAGGGGGGAGTGAGAGAAAGAAGCACCTTTAAGGCAGCACCTTTAAGACTGACTCCCCCCCGCCCGCACATGAGCATTCATGGATATAAACTCATTTATTTTGATACAATACAGAGTGATAATAAATGCTAAGGTAAAAAGCATATTTACACACTTGTGGGAGTGGAATGGAATGGAAAAGGCCCCCGAAGGATGCAAATCATGAGACTTGCCCTAAAATTTCAAAAGTCTGCATAATGTGATACAAGTCTTTCAGATCTTTAAAGTGCTCAATTAGTATCGATGTGGCAGCAATAATTTGATCTGGCAAAAAATAAATCTGCTTGCCAAAAGTCAGTTTCTCAGGGTTCAGAGTTCTCTCATGAGAAGATTCCTTTTGTGATATGTGATATGTGCAGTAGCGAGGACTCTTGTATTAATATATGTAGTGTGCCATGAAACCATTGCCTTTGTCCATACCTCTGCTAATGGACTGGAATTTGTGAATATAATTGAATTCAGCAGTTTCTCTCTAGTCTTCCTTTGTAAGTTCCTGTTCAAGAACCAGAACTGTGGAGATTATCACATACAGAAAAACTGGCGGGAGAGATGTAGGATCTAAAAGCCAAACTGGTCTTATCACATTTACCCACGTCCGGGCTCTAAGCATCCTGTATCCACCTGGGGAGCCTGTCTACAACCTAGACTTCTCCTGCTGCTTTTTAATTTTTATCTTTTAGATCCCACGTCTCTCTGTGTTTTTCTGTGTAATAATCTCCTGTCAGTCACTTACTGTGCATCCAAGAAGTCTGAAATGTTCTGCAGCTTTTTGAGTATTGCCATTTCTAGTATCAGATTTGCATCCATTAATCCTCTTGCGTAGAGACTATCTTGTTTGTCCAATGTAGTGTAGAGGAGCATTGCTGTAATAGAATGGCATATATCACACTGTAGGAAAAGCAAGTAAATATACCTCTGATGTTGTGAGTGCTAGTATTGGCTCCTGTAATATTTCTCCCTGAGTAGATGTGGGGACAGAGTTGGCATTTGGGTTTTTGGCAGGGTTCTGCCCCTGTATGTATCCTGTTGTAAGTAATTTTTTTAAGGCTTGGAAGCTGTCCATAGGCCAATAAAGGCTTATGTCTTAGAATTTGTGAGAGGGCTGTGTTATTCTCCAGAACTGGTTGTAAATAATAATAATAATAATAATAATAATAATAATAATAATAATAATAATAATAATAATAATTTATTTCTATCCCGCCCCTCTGACTAGCAATCGGGACGGCTTACAACATTAAAATTCATACAATATAATACAATATAATACAAAATAATACAATAATACAGATTACATAAAGTAACCTAAAAAAACCCAGAACCCACCTGCCCCTTAAAATATTATTAAATCAAATTGTATATTAAAACATGTTAAAATAGAATCACAATAACACCAGAAACAAACAACAAACAACAAACAACAGCAGCAGCTACAAACACAAGTGGGGAAGAACAAGAGGGGAGAAGTCCTAAGGCCGGGAAGTCTAGTCAGGAAAAGCCTGCCGAAAGAGATCCGTCTTAACACCTTTTTTGAAACTGCTCAAGGTCTTAATCTGACCGATCTCATCTGGCAGACCGTTCCATAATATGGGAGCGGCTGCCGAGAAGGCCCTCTGGGAGGTTGTAGACAGCCTTGTTTTTATCGGCTGCAACAAATTCCTCCCAGAGGGCTGAAGTGCGCGGGGTGGATTGTATGGGAGAAGGCGGTCCTGAAGATAGGTTGGACCCAAGCCATTTAGGGCTTTAAAGGTAATAACCAACACCTTATACTGGGCCCAGAAACTAATAGGCAGCCAGTGGAGAGACTTTAATACAGGTGTTATATGGTCTCTCCTTGATGTACTTGAAATCAATCTGGCTGCCATGTTCTGTACTAGTTGAAGTTTCCAAACCAAGCACGAGGGTGGCCCCATGTAGAGTGCATTACAGAAATCAAGACGAGAGATCACCAGCATGTGCACCACAGTTTCAGGGTCCTTTACTTCCAGGAAAGGGTGCAGCTGGCGTATCAG